TGCGAAATAGGAGCACTATTTATCAATCTGTAATAAAAGACGTGAGGAAATTCTGTCTTTTTTAAAGACAAAAATTTTTGAGGCGAACTACCCAACAAGAAGTTTGTAAAATAATTACATCTCAATGTTTGAAAAAAACCCAAATTCATGTAATTAAAAATTTTATTAAAACTTGAACGGAAGTGTGTCGTAACCCTCTAGATGAAAGTTCTTGACTACCTTTTGATAAAGAATTCGTTCTTTATTGCGAAATAAGAGCACTTGTCATCAATTTCTAATAGAAAACGTGCGCAAATTGTGTCTCTTTAAAAAACAAAAATTTTGAGTCGAAAAACCGAAGAAAAAGGTTTTGAAAAAACAAGTATTCAATGACATGAATATTAAAACTGCAGCAAAACCGATTGAAAACGAAAATACGTTATTTGGCATAGCAAGTTTTAAGTGCGAGGATCATCACATCAGTTTTGTTGTGACTCGACGTTTCTCTTAGAGCAAATTCATAAATCTATTTTCATCTGTTTAAGCCGCTTTCATTTAACCATCTTTAGACCAGTGTTTGTCAATTAATTCTGAAAAATTGTGAGCCCAGACCCGTATGTTCCGCTCGCTCTTACATTGTAGGATGTGTATTGAAATTCACTTAAATATATATTTACTTTCAATCGAGTATAGCGAAAAAAGAAAAATCAAAGAACTTGAACAGTGAAACCAAATAAAATGACTTAGAAAATCATTGAATAACAAACTTGTACAAAGATTATTCTCACCTTCTAAACACAATTGAGTTCTTCAAACTCTACTCTTAGAAGCATGTTTTAATTGCGTATTTGCCGGGTTTTAATAATGATATGCACACATTTTTAACTTTTGTTATTAACTATGAATTTAAAACACTCGTCAAAACCTAATGAAATCTTATTAAAAGATCTAGAATTTGTTAACAAATATAAGAACTGTAGTTAGAGAATAATAATTGTACGTTTACTGAAAATGAAACAAAACGGAAAAAACGGATATAAGATGGCCTGCACTGATGCAGACTGACTTATGTTGCTTAAAATTTTTTGCAGCTCTAATATTAATAAAAAGGCAAATTTTCTTGGTATTAGAAATCCGCAAGCACAGTAAAGATGATTTCAATAGTTGAACGCATGGTATTTAGAAAAAGCATCAAAATAAACTGAAGGAACCATAAATAATAGAATTAATTTATGCATCAATTCACAAAACTTGCAAAACATTTACAAGGTAGGAGAGACCAATGATTCTTTGAAACGCACAATTAAAAACCACATATTTTTATATGTGGCCAAAAATAGCTGAGATTTTAATTGCTTTATTATAGAAAACGTTTTTATTAATGTTGCTGTTCTATGATCTTTCTTAAAATGTATCCAATGAATATATCTTTTAACTTAACACTATTGAAATATTTAAAATATCCCTTCTTATTTATATATTTTTGAGTATTCTCTGATAAGCTCGGAGTAGCAAAACAATATATATTGCCTTATTACATGCAAAATTAATTGTTCTCAAAATTTACAGTCGTATATATAAGCTATATAATTATCTGCTCCATAAACTGAAGCAGATGTAATATAGAAAATACATTGATGTTTTTGCCATTACTTTTATTCTTATTTTGTTGGGACTTTTTTCCTTCTTCAAAAAATATTTATACCCGACAAATTAACGAGACAACTCTCAGACCTTTAGTTTTCCATGTTACTTGTGAAAATCGGGAACAAATCCTGATAATAAAATTGTGTACAGTTTTTCGCTGCTTCAAAATTATATCCAGAACTGTCCTTTGAAGAAAAAATCACTGGAATAATATGATGAGTGTGCGATTTGGTTGAAAATCCATGTTTCAATGACCGTATTACCAAATAGAAGCAGATTTGTAGTTTTGAATAACAAAAATCTCGTTGGTAATAATTCTGACGATAACGTTCCAAAACGCATTGAGACAAACTATCATTTTTTATTTTGAGATACCAAGACACCGAGATATCAGTTATTCAGCGAAACATGGTCCCGAATAGAGCCACTGGTCCATAGATAAACACACTAAATTCTTCAACGGCTTGACAACGCAATATTTTCTATTTGCATACGTTATAAGGGTCGACCCTTTTGTTATCCAAGTTCCTTGACCAGCTCACGAATTTAGCTTCACCGACGGACATGTATAAATAAATAACGAGCCGTATTTTGCGGTTTTGCATAATTTAGTTGGCGCGTTGGGCTGACGGTGGGATTGCGCTCCAACTTTAACACTAGTTTACGAAAATGGGATTAGCAGCCGCTTTGACGCCAATCACTTCGAACAATACGGAACAGCACTTACTTTAATCCTTTCGGTGCAACAAGGCATCGCAGCAAAAATGTCGTATGAATACATGCTGCCCAAGATCAATGAGGATCCATCCCATTTCTGGTTGCAGAATCGGCACACAATAGCTCGACCATGAACACCTTCCAGACAACCCATACAAACGACAGTTAAAAATTGGGTGCGTCCTTCCACTTTCACCTGCAAAAAACACCATCATTATTATCATGTCTACATAAGTTAAGAGAAGACAGGGTGGTGGTACACACTTGACGGCTTTTCAACCAAAGTTAATTCAAAAGTGACTCCACACAGATTAAAATTACCAACCCAACGGTACCGCAAAATTAGAGGGTCTAACCAGAAATATTTGCCAAAAAAGATCTGGGGACGTTTCCAAAGTTGCAGGCGATAAAATGGCTCCTCTGCACATCTACTGCACGATGTTGTAACTGAATTGCAGGATGTGGCAAAGAAAAGCATCGTTTTGTACTTGTCTCGTCTAGATATTTAAGACATTTAAGTTCTCCGATGTTGACAATTATATTGGGGAGTTGTTTTGCAATTTCCAGCTGCTCTAAACAGTTGCGCAGCTACACTAATTTTGATTCACCCGTGGAAGTTCCTTAGTCCCACATCTTCCTTGTTCTCATTTCTTCGCAGACTTATTATAAGCTGAAAGGTTCAAAATCGGTCTCCTCTTAGAACATTTTCGAAGTGTGACATCTTCCTTAAATATGTGGGTTTGATCAATTCCCAACGGCGTCTGCATGTGTTTCTACGCTACTAAAGTTCTGCTGGAATGTTGTCTGGTCACGTTGCTGCCTTATTTTATCTTCCAAGTATTGGGCATTAGATATCAACATATCTGGATCTTCATCTTGGTTAACATCTGCTGCTGTCTTCGAACCAATCAGTTACTTCGTTATTTCATATTTCCAGAATTCCTTGTTTTATTCTCTTCCCTTTGTCTAGCTTTAAGAACCTCGATTTTGCATTATCAGAAACTCCTCTGACTCATCTTGCATACTTGAATTTAAATGATTATCTGAGACATTGATATCGACAAACACAGCAAGCTGATGAGTCTTTCCCAAAGAACTCTTTGCACATCATGTTTGAACATTCCAGTACTTAATAACAACTAACCAATTAGTAGTTAACCTACCTCTATGCAAGTTTTGGCATGTTGTCGGGGACTCAAGAAAAAAGTACCATCCACCAATGGATAGCGATCGAACACGGGCAGCTGTTCTTCGCACAAAATACAGTGAACTTTAGAGCGTCCTTGTGAAGCCAAAGTTGAGAGGATGAAGCATCTGGTGTCGTCATTGCCGTGGTTGCCTTCGTCTTCGGTCTAGAAAAAGAATTAAATTAGAATTAAAGGTGTTTAAAGTTCCTCAGAGAAAATGGACCTGCGTATGAAAAACAATTTTTCTTATGCGCAATGACAATGTATTGCTTAATTCACCATATGAGTTAAAGGATAAGTGGAAGATGCAAAAGTTACAAAAAAAACAGTAATAAAGAATGAAATAATATCGAATATAAGCAGCAATTCTTCCTACTGGCTCTCAGACTTTCTAGAGCATTGGCGGATAAAGTTTGCTACTTGATGCATTCTGAACAGAAAAATGCAGATCAGAATTTTACGATACGATGTATTGAGAGCCATTAGGGCTAGTAATTATTGAAATTCCATTTTTACAACATTTTGGAATGGTTCAGGTAACCAGAAATATTTAATTATCAGTTTCATTAATATTGAACCTTCCAAGTCTAGCTAGAACTTTACATTTACAGTATTTCCTAAATCATGATAAAACCCGTATTTATTTCCTTTTGTCTTTTTTTATACACCTGACGACAAAGTAAGTGGATGCCTTCCTGTCGACTTAAGTTTGAGCTTTACCTAATTGTATTCTTTTTCGAGCCAAAGTGCTAGTGGATGTCTTCATGCCTTCAGCTTGCCACTGATAATGGCTTAATGGTTAAAAGCCCCTTGTTTGGAATTCCTAACAAAGTAATTGCGTAAAAATATGGAACAGAAATTATCATTGTATCAACTAGAAAATAAGTTGAAAAATCTATCATGAGCCGTAAGAAAATATACTATATACGTACAATGCAAATGTGCCTGAGAAAATAATCAGCAATCTATATTTTCCACCTTGCAGTCTGTCAGCATTTTATAAAAGCAAGTCGTACAATTCTCAAATCCCACTTTATATTTAGACCCATTGAGTAAGAGAAAAAATTAAAAAGTCCTACTTTGGAGTTTTAACTCCATTAGTCTGTCGGCGTCTTTAATTAAAACAGATGTAAATTTAGAAAGTTCTTTAATTAAAAGCAACAAATCTTTTATTTATTTTTATTTCCATCCGAAAAGCGCTCGTTGTTTACAATGTCAGGGGCATAGATTTGAAATGTCTGAACTCTGGCAAAGAAAAATAATTTCCTTTTCTCCCACGCCTATAAATTAGAATATATAAATTCTTCATTTCTATATTTGTAACTACCACAGTAAACAATGCTTTTCGATCCTAATACAAAGGGAAGAAGCAGCATTTGAACGTAAAATGTATCGACAGGATCAAGTTTCCTGAACCCCAATATCCGGACACACTTTAATAAGCCGCCTAGTCCGGATGTAATAAAGGTCCCGAATGTTCTGGCTCAAATATTATCCCTGCATCGAAATATTTGTTTATAGAGCGAGAGCAGAAAAGGCGACATCTTGAACAATGGGCTCGAAGCAATTAAATACAAATTCCAAAACGAGAAACTAAACGAAGAGCGCAAAAGAAACATAAATGTAAATCTCGGGCTCCTAATTCAATTTGTTCTTCCCAAATGCACGCGAAACTTTTAGAGATCTGTTTCTGTTATATTTATTACCAGACAATTTCGACGGTCTTCTTCTTTTTAATGGGTTTTCCTTTGTCTTAACTGTTTCCCATATATCATACTAAAACTTTACCCCAGTTTTTACGTGCTAAAGATTCGGCGGCCTGTCGTGAAACGGGGATCTATTGCTGATTATGGAAGTTTTCAGCATCGAACTGCTAAGGGGTAAGACGATCTATTGGAAAATACGTGCTGAATTCGATGACACCCGTAAATTATTTGACATGGTTCAATCATCATGGGAATTAAGATATTATGCAAAAGAAATATCCAATTTTGTCAGCTTCTAGTGGATAACAGCGTTTCGGCAATTAGGAATTTAAGGGCAATTGGAATATAATTTTAAGGAAGCGTTTTAGGGCTTAAAGGGCGTCTAAATTCGTCAGAAATACGGCAATGACTTGAAAATTAAGCAGGAATTCTCATTGAGGTTTGCTTGCAATATACGCAAGAACTTTTGGTAAAAGAATATTTGTAATATGTTAAGACTAGCTATCTATATTAGACGCAAAAAGTGTTAGAGCAAGGGCAGCCCCAACTGCAATAGCGTCCATTAAAATTGAATTTAAATTTCGGCAGTAGATCCTCCTCATGTGGGAATGATTTTTGCATATGCTGTCTTCCAGTGTTCTTGCATTTGAAACGAAACAAATCCACTGCCCCCCACATTGTTTTTTACCTGTTGAATCGTTTTTATTAATTCAATTAACTTGCTTATTCCTTTTAATTTTCAATCCTATGTTACTTTAGTTTGCTTGTTAAATATCTGTGTTTAGTTTTGTTTAGTTGTAGATGTTTTTTTTTTTCATCAAACGGGTAATTAGTGCAAACTGCTCTAAATTTGTAGCAAACTGTTCTAAAATCATCTAATTGTTTCACTCCAATCAAACGAGAACTCTGTCTCTAATTATTTGACGATTTAACCACTCTTCAGACGATGCGTTCCAAGAAAGAGCTTCTCTTGGTAACAGACTCGAGATTTATTGTTAATGAAACAAATATCCTCATAAGCAACTCAGTGGCGTATTGCCAAAATATGTGAGGAAATTTATTTCGGACGTTTAGAATCCGATCTTGAATCTTTCGTCGGGCCCCTAAGTCGTCGCCTGATTTTGCAAACGAAAGTTAATTTGGCTATTATGCAGAATATAATTGCTGGATTCATGGACGATCACTATGAATTTGTATTTTCAAAAAAGTTGCTCAGATGTGAACCAGACTCCTTCAATCAAATCTAGCAATAAACCAAAAATTAAATGTAGCACTTAATAAACGTCAATGAAAACGAAATTGAACCACGGAAAAAGAGAAAAAACCAGCTTGATCCAGCACTTAAATTAATTAAAATGTTAGCGCTGGCATTGCAGAAACAAATCATTCGCTGTGAAAGCCTTAATACGAACGAACTATCGGCCCAAAAGTACTATTAGCGGATCCTTAAATAAATCATTAAAAGCCTTATAAATCATTTAAAATGTTGCTTTCAGCTTTTTCGAGGCCTCGCCACTAGCTTTACACCACTCAGAAGTTTGACGGAGAACAGTAAATTTAAAGGGACGGTTTTATTAATGTTGCACTGGCGCTTTCCCATAATACGATGCAGAAGCTTATCGTAAATGTGCTTTTAAATTAACAGCACTGAGTTAATCGTGCATTTTCATTGTACCTCAGTTGGGGTATAGATTTTATAAATTAATTGAAAACACTTTGGTTCTTTGTATTGGCTATTCAACCAACTGCTGAAGAATTCCTGAAAGATGCCAACTTTTAGAAGTTAAGTAAATAGAAATGTTATTAGAAACCATAAAGGTGAAATTAGCCCGGTGCAACTAAAAAGAAAAGGCAAAGATTTATTAAGAAAAGAAAATTAAACCAAATGAGAAATTTAATGTTAGGTTTTTTTATAATGTTGCTGAGAAGGCGCTTCAGTGACTGATTCTTGTTTTTAAAAAGTCAAACTCGTTGAGAAAAAAACCCTAGTTAGGAGAAACAGTAGTCAATAAGTTTCTCGTATATAAAAGATTGAACTCCTTGCACATTGCAGCAAAAATATTGCTTTTCACAGAAAAAAATTTAACAAGGGTCTTAACAAATATGTAGAAAAATTGGAGCCAAACCTATTGTGGATTCACGGAAAGTTAAAATCCTGCCGAATCCGACAAGTGCAATTTATGAACTAAATAAAGAAGCTCCATATAGCGGACATTTTTCAAGTAAATGCACTTTTTAGCTATCCACTAAAATAACAGTGGGAATTATTTTTTTCATGCACCAATTAATTATCATTAGTTTTTTAAACCACTTTTGCTCAAAACCATTTTTTCTGGAACCACTTCCTAGAACAGATCAAACTGACTTTTTTTATTGAAATAGTCCAACTTCAATTTACTATTAGAATTATTTTCTTAAACCCAACTTAAATAACCTGCACCAACAAGATATGCATTGAAAGTGAGTGACAACAATCGAAAAATTTGTTTTCCCAATTAATGAATGTGAATTTTTTTCAAGAAATCACCCTTTAAACGCGAAGAAGAATCAGCATCGTTCCTCTAATTTACTTTGGAGTGAAAAATCCATCTTTTTGTGACAAACTCGTTATTTATCAGAGGCGCTTTATATCCTTTCCAAAGCAAGAAACAAAAAGGGTTTTTTATTAGGACAGCAAGTTCACCTCTATATTCAGTTACCTACACCTACTTGCTGCCAAACATTGACCACTCACGAATGAGTGCAATAAACGCAAATCTAACGAAAGCTGGTTGAATGAATTGCAGAGTGCATTTCATTGTCAATTCAATATAAATACTGATCGAGCCGAATTCACTTGCTGCTATAGAGACACTGAAAAAAAAAAGCAGAAAGCAATCTAATTTTACTAAAACCAATCCGAACGAAACGCTGTCAGTTATATTTTTCACGTCGGCGACTTCCGAATCTAGTTTTTCTCGATTTCCCCTCTTGTCGGAAAATCTTTTCCCGGCACCCTTCTTGATGGAATTGTTCGATGTCGACCTAACTTTGCTTTTAATGCTCGTCTTTTTTACAACCGTTTTCGATAGTTTTTCACCAGCAGCTACGCGACAGATCTGTTTCTCGCCCAAACCTATTACAGACATTTCCTGAGTAGTGTCTCTTGTTTATGGGGACGTCGATTTTACCATCTCGAATTTCATTAACTTCGTATAAAGTTGTATACGTGAATTTCTATACGCGTATCGCATTGCCATTTCTGCTTGCTGAAATAAAGACATTTGCTAGCTTATGGTACGAATATACATTGAAAAGTGAAATGCAAAACCGTCTCGTTTTATCTACCTAGCGTGCCATTGTATAAAAGCATTATAATCATTGCATTATATTTTAAAATGCAAATTTTTTTACAATATTTTACCATATTCCTCCAAATTGTCCGACTCGCTTCATCTAAGCAGCTCATCTCGGTGATAT